AGATACATGTACATTAGACCTTCTACTCGAAATGAGAGAAGCATGACTCACATACACGTGTTTTTGATTATATAAACAAAAGGGGAAATAAATGTTTCCGAATGGCGTGATTTATGACGTCTCTTTAAATTCGCACGTGGTAGTTGTTTATTGTAAGTAGAGAAGTTTTATTTTCGCTAAAGCGTTGGGTATTTCGGTTTGCAGTTCAGTTTTTAGAAAATAATTAGATCTTGTTAGACGTGAATTCTTTCTGTTTTTACCGTTGCAATGTTGAAGCGTCGAAAATGTTTAACAGAGCATGAAATAGCAGAAATGATGCAAAATATTTCAGATATTGATTCTGAAACAGATTCTGATAGTAGTGATAGTGATACTATGATATATTCTGATCATAAAGAATCTGGCGAATCTAATGATGATGAGGACATTTCGGACATCTGTACGTCGAAAGCAAGTACTTCTCCATGGTCATCCACAATAGAAAATTTAGAATACAACAAAAATATGGGAGGAGTAGATTTAAGCGATTCCATCATTATTCAGTACACATCTGTCAGAAAACTGTTAAATGTTATAAGAAGCTTTTCTTAAATATCATGGATATGGCTGTAATTAACACCAATACTCTTTTCAACAAAAAAGTAAAAAAAAGTCCTCTCCTGAATTATCGGCTTAATTTAGTTAATCAAATTATTTATCAGAATTCCTCTAAAAGCACCAATGTTAATATCACACCAAGATCAGCAGAATCATTAAATCCGCTCAGATTAACTGAAAGACATTTTCCAAAACTTTGTTCAGAAGAGACTGATAAGAAAATGAGACGACGATGCTTCGTTTGTTCACATTCCCGGAAAAATCCTCCAAAACGGCAAATGAGTTATTACGAGTGCAAGGAATGTAACGTAGGACTGTGTGTAGATCCCTGTTTTCAAATTTTTCATACGAAAAGAGAATTTTAAGTAATATATTTAGTTTTCAGATGTATAATGTTAAAAGCCATAAAATGGTGAGTAATGAAAATAAAATGTGTAAAATATGCATTTAAACAAGAAATAAGGTAATTAAAGTATCTATAAAAATATCTGTAAAGCGTAAGCCGTTTAAATACTCTATAGAGCATTATTAAACAATGCGTTGATACTTCGGAAATTTCATGGATTTAAGCTTAATAGCAAAAAAGCCCCCGGCCCTGGACAGACACTCGCAGAAGACACTGCCGGTCTCCGCGATAAGCGCGTGTTTGTGCTACCTGGCACGAAGGGGTTAAGGAAGTTTAAACATGCTGTCAAAGTGCTGAAAATGTCACGTTTAAAAAAGTCACGTTTAAAAAGATTTGTTTTTTGGGCAATACTTTCTTTGCAAGCTAGAAGCTACATCACAGTTTCCTGCTGCCATACACAAACTATTGGAAAAGAAATGGGTTAAAAATTGTGTCTGGTTAAAAACTTTTGTTGTTGGGTTTTTATTTTTCAATATTTGATTATATCTTCTTTTTCTAGTGTATGATTTTATAGAAGCAAAATAATATTAAAATGATTTTTTATTTATTATTAATGAACATATTAAGATATAGTTTTAAAAAAATGGTTATTTAAAATTTTGTTTTCAGCAGTTTACATCATGAGGAATGTGGAAAAGTTCCAACTCTTACATTGTATAAAAGTGATTTAGATAAAGCTACAAAAGATAAGACACATAAACTATTTAGCCAAGATTTCAAGGTATGTATAGTTAATTTTGGGGGAAATGTTTTGTGTAAACATAAATGCAAAAATAAATATTCCAAGTAATGTAAAAATCCCATTTGATTTAAGTCTTAAGAAAAAAAAGTTGATGAAATATGTACGAAAATATAGCCTTCTAAAAATAATGAGTTTGTCAAAGAATAATCTTCCTGTAGTAAATAAAATCATTTTTTTAAGACCATGGAAAAGTTTCTTCCCATACTTAGGGATGAATACACACGCTCCCCACTTTACAAACAAGCCTTCTTAAAGAGTGAAATTTATATGGACTTCAAAAGAGTTCAGATTCTCATTTTTTGAAAGAGAAGACCAAAATTTGGTACTTTTCCGTTTTGCCTGCACAAACGATAAAGTCGCCAATAATGGTACAACTGATGCCAAACGGAATATCCTTGCTGGTAACCTTTTACGCTTCATTTTAAAAGCGCAGCCATTTCTTCTTAGATGATTGTTTCTTTCAATTCTAGCATACAATTACATAGAATTTTTACAAGATAGTTAATTTTATGCCCTAAACCATTTGCGTAATTAAGTCATTAGGATACAATCACCCGCTTAGGAAGGCGAAATATGAAAAGGCAAAATCAGGGTTAATTCATTAATTTTAATGAGAATGCACTAGCGAAGTAAAGCACTGTGGTTTTACATAATTTCTGAGTAAGCTATTCGTACGAATTGAAATAATTCCTGCATTTAAATTATTATTCCAAATTAAGATTTACTGTATTTGACAGCATATAAGATGCACTGGCATATAAGACGCACTCTTATTTAGAAGGCCACGCACAAGGAAAAAAGCTTCAATAGTCCGCGCGGTACCGCAATAACTAAAATGGGTTCTTTTAGTTCTCTCTCGTTTCGTAAAGCCAAATAAACAATCATTGAATGCAATTACCAAACATATTTTTATTAGGAAATAACAGCGGCAAGCTATTTTGAACATGATATGTAAATTTCAATAATGAATAAATGAATGAATGGCAAGCATCAAACATAAACAGAATAAAGCAGAAAACAACAAAAACACAGATTCAGGAAAACTTGCCTATCAGACTTTAAATCACTTCAAAACCATAAAAATCCTTTTCATTATCATCATCATCGAAACGAGAATATCGTCATCACTACTGTTTCCGTCATCGCTGTACCTTCTTCAAATAATGCGTCGTCTTCTGTTCTGTCAAGAGCATTTACTGATTCCACACTTCTTAAAGGACTTAACAATTACTTCAGCCTTTATGTCCTCCCAAGATCTTTTTTACTCACTTGCAGTCCACCAGGAATGACAGCTATCTGGGTTTTTAATTCTCTCGCTTTATTCTTTATGGTTTTAGTTCTATGGGCGCTAAACTGATCCAAAACCAAAAGAGAGGGTTTTCTAAAACCAGGTCTCCTCGCCTATATGTTCTGTAACCACAGTTTCATTCCAGCTTCGTACATCCAGCCTTTTGGATGAGCATGAACAATTACACCTGTTGGAAGTTTTTCTTTCGGCTATGAAAAATGGCGGTAGTTTTGTGCCATCAGCAAAACATGTTAGAACTACTGTATATCGGGTTATTCATGACCTGCGGTTTTTATGGTTATTGATTTAGCCCCTTTAATACTCACAGTTTTGTTGGATGGTACATCAAATGTGAGTGGAAATATGGATGAAATATTTCCTATTTGACCGAGCTCAAAAGAAGTTTTCTTGCGTGCATTTATAACAAAACCTATGAAATGCTAATTTTTTTCTTTATAATCTGCTGGCATTTTCTGTGCAATAGTTGTGTTTTTGTGCGCATTAATAATCCTTGCCTTTTCATGAACCTGTAGCACCAGCCCTCAAGAGCCCTGAAAATTCTGATTCCCATGTTTTTTCTGCAAATCAACTTTGGCCTCCATTGATTATCATTTTGGTTGAAACACTTATCCAGATTTCCTCTTATCTATCACCCACATTTTTACGGCATTTCAGTTCAGGCCTAGATGGAGCTAGCTCGAAGGTTTGTTTTTGTTTTTTACAGTCTCAGTTGATCCTCCTGCAGTCGCCAAGTACGTATCATTTTTGGGTAGGTGGTGGACCGAATGCCTTGCTTGCTGCTCTGTTTCCTCCATGCACTTTGGCGTAGTTTAACACTCCTAGTTTATACTGAAGTGTATAGCTTAATCTCTTGTTTCCTGTAGTCATATTTTCCAGGGTATTTTTTTTAAACAAATAGTTTTAAGCACCGATACCGACACGTTTATACAGAGTAGCACCAGTACATGTGTCGGCTGAGTCAAGGAAAGTCTTAAGGAAAAAAGGGAAGGCTCCATAGACGTAATGTGACCGTTGAACCTGTTCAAACTTCGACAACAGCTTCGAGCTTTGGCGCTTTTTGGCGACAGATATTTCACACATGCGCAAAATAATTATGGCAGATGTAGAAAAAGTTATGTGTGTCTAGACCTTTATCTGGGCTAAAAATAGCATTCAGTATTAAAAGTTAACCTGTGTCCTTCATGTATAAGACGCAGATAACTTTTTTTGAGACCAAATTTAGGAAAAAAGTGCGTCTTATATGCTGTCAAATACAGTAACTTGAAATTAATGTAGATATTTACTGAGAGAATTAGATTTTTGTAGTGTAGTTTATGTGAGATGAGATCACTTGGGGTCACGTGATAAGAACCGGCGAATCAGGATGTTGAACCATGAAAGCATAGTAAATTCTTAAGTTAATGTTTTTTACAAATTTATTGTCTATTGGCTTTTTACAAAATTTTAAACCATTTTAAAATGTTTATGCCTTCAAAATAAAAAATTCTTAGAACTAACAGCTGTGTTGTGTCGCTTATATAATCAATATAAAATTTTCTATGGAATAATAAAATAGCATAGAATTATATGTTGCAAGTAAAAATTTTAATAATTTTTATGCTAACAGAACTCTGTTAATTATAGAAACAATAAAATTGTTCTTAGTGATAAAAATCAGAAAATAACTTCATTAGCTGCTCACAGTCTGCTGGTGCATGGAAAATTTAAACACTTTGGTAAGTGTGCTAAACAGTCGAGCTAGTTAGATCTAGTCCTAAAGTTGAAAAATCATTAACAATAAAAAATTGGAAATGTAATCAAATATGAACAGACGATAAATAAAGTTTTTCTTTTTTTGTCAGACTTCTGAGAACGTAAGAATATAGTAATTTCCTTAAGTAGAAAAGAAAATATTCTAATGAATTTGGAAGAATGCTAACAAATGAAGTAAAAAATACATCTGTCTATTGTTTACAATAGCAAATCACTTGTATCAAGGTGAAAAGGTATTCTGTTTATAAAGAAAACAACTTGGTTGCCACACTACCTGGAAAACCAGGAAAAGTCATAAAATTTGAAAATTAATTAAAGAAGTCAGGGAATTTAAATATTTTATTATAATCTGGAAAAGTCAGGGAATTTCATTTGGCGAATTACGTATCGCATTAGTGTCATTCGGCAGCTGACGTAGGGCCAGTTTTCACAGCTGCAATCAGATTATCTTTTGGAAAGGCAAAGCAAGTTTCCAGCAACTTTGGTTTTCAGTAAGCTCGAGAATTCAAGAGATTTACATGCGCATGTGCAGTTCATGTTGAACGAAAGAAAATATCTTTCCATTTTCGCGTAAAACGAAATTGGTTTAATCCTAATATATGGTATCCACGGGATTTGGCAACATTATGATGAGCAGTAAATGGATAATTTTGGTATTGGCAACAGTTTTAGTCTTTAAGTAACTAACTTTATTCATCTCATTTAATGTGGCTTTTTTCTTCTAAGTTTGTTTATTATTAGTTAATAATAATTTCAAAATTCATGTCCGTGGAGTTTGTGAGAAGAGTACGGTAAAATCATCCTAGTGTTATTTGAACCACACATATACACTGTGAGCTGTATGATACTTTGCATTGTCCTGCTGGTAAATGCCACATCATTCTGAGTGGGAAAAAAATTGCATGCTGTGGTGGACATAGTCCGCAAGGACAGATGCGTATTTCTGTTTATCCATGAAGCTTTCCACAATGATGAGTGCATCCAGAGAATGCCATGAAAGCATTCACGAGACTATAATGCTACCTCCTCTAGCTTGGAGCCTTCCGTCAATTGTTGCAGGTTGTTTGCTTTATGACATTTCGCACCGTATACACCAAGTTTCATCTGTTTAATGGAGCATAAGACGGGATTCATTGGAAAAAGCTACCTGTCACCAGCTGAACCATCATTGAGGAGACGCTTTTGGTAGTCCCTTGGTTAATCTGGGCAATCAGTTACTCAACAGTTGCATGTCTATTCGGCTGAACGCATCTCTGCAGCCATCATTCACCTCTGCCATCTATGGCCCATGTTGCACCACATTTGCCACATCAGTGATTTTGGTTAGTGCCATTTTGCCATCCACTGTGTAAATTTACCATGGCAGCATGCAAACAGTTACAAAATTAGCTGTTTCAGAAATGATTCCACCCTTGGCCTAAAAACCAATGATCATGCCCTTTTGGACGTCAGTTAAATCTCTCCGTTTCTGCATTCTGCCAGCAATTGCAATGTTTTCTGGTTCTCTCGGACACCCTTTTTATATGTGCTTTACTATAATGTGCTGCCACCTGCCTTTTGTGATTGGTTATTTCCTGTTGACATTGAAAGTAGGTTGTGGTCACATTAATGTGACTGGACTGTGTAAATTTTATATCAAATGAAATTAGGATGAAGTTTCCAAAAGAAATATTTTTCAGTTTATGGCCTAAAATGTCATCATTTATTGAATTCCAATTCTGAATAAAAATTCAATATTTTCAAGCTATGAATCTGTCTAAAAATAGAGCTACTGCAAGCTCAGAATTAGAAATATTTTTTAAAGAGAGAGATATAAATTTAACCTCAGTATATAGCAATTATTGCTTATTATGATAAAATTAATGAAGGGTTTATAATGTATTATATATATGTAAGATATAACAAAATACTATGGCTGCACTAAGAAACGATTGGCAAACTCAAAATTAACTATTCTAAATTTGGTGTTCCCAAATTTGAGATCTTTCCATGTTACATAACAATCTAAAATTAACCAATAGCAGCTTAGCTACACTTCATGCACCTACTTAGTATAAATAGCTACTAACTGCATAGTCTCTCTCTCTAAAATTATGGGATGCATTTAGCACCCCTACTCTTCTATTCGTTATGAAAATTGTGTTAAGAAATTCATCATCCAAAAATAAATTATATTTAACTATGAAGTTGCTCATGTTTCTTGTAAAATTCCATTGGATCATTCCACTGTGATGCAATTTCCAATCATCTACACAGCAGTATTTTCAGCCATGACTAGAGCGTGAATTGTTATTATCTCCTGCCAAAAGTATAACATTACATATATATATATTTCTAATTAATCTTACCATTTGATCAAAGGATCATGGATTTCACTGCAATTGTACAGCCATCAGATGAGTGCAAGTCAAAGCATAAGAATTTAAAATCAGTTGCTTGCAAACTGTACATGCAAAGTATGCATATAGTATAATGATCATCTTAAGTTAAAACATGGTGCATAGTCTATAGAAATGTTCTCTATAGAAATGTCGGGCCGTTAAATTATGCCTGAATTTTTGCCAGAAATTTTTATTATAATTGCATTTTTATAATATTTATTTATAGTTTTGCTTATTTCTTTTATCAAAACTAAACTTTGATTCTGTAAATATTGATAATGAATTTTTAATCTAGGTTAGATTACAGTTTAGTTATGTGAATGATTCGCCTTCCAACATCAGCCTTCGTTCTGAAAGTAAAGCTTCTATGCATGGTCAGAGTACTAGTGATAACGCAAGTAGTCACGGTGAGACAAGCAGTGAGAATGAAATGCTTGATAGTGAGACAGACTCTGATGATGATGACTGGGAAGGTTGTGAAGCAACACATGTTTGATATAAAAAGTGTAAAAAAAAAACTATTAAGATATTCTTCAGTTGCCATGACTTTTGAGGCTGGATTTAAAGCCCAAGACACAGTAATGCATATCATGTTTAACCAGTTCCAGTCCATGAATGGAAATTATTTATAATGAAGTACATTGCATGTGCTGTGTCCTTGATAAGGCTTAATTTTGCAGAAACATTAAAAGTGGAAGAACAAGTAGACTTTTTAAAATCCAAAGATATTGGTATCCATCATCATAAATCAAATACTTGTATATTTTTTGTGTTTATCTTTAAAAATATTCTGTTGTCATCTGTGATTTTTGACTTTGTGCTGTATGAATTCATTATACATTTATAATACAAATGGAAGATAAAAACAGAGGATAAGCATCCTGTCCTTTTCAACATAATGTAATAAATTTTTGTCCAATTCCGTCATCAGTGCATGTGTGTACGTTGATTTTATTTTTACAGTGTGTGTGTCAGACTTTGCCTTTTAGGCTGTTCAGTGTGCCAATATACGTTAAATTCAATAAACTGGTAAAAAAAATCATGTAAAGCATGTATACACATGTGGTGCTATCCTGTGGTAGTTCTTCAAAGCAATATGACAATTACATTATGTTTGAAAATGCTTATTTGATAATAATATTTTTTCTTTGAACAAAAATATTGTGATAATTTCAAGGTATAATTCAGTTACTATACAAATGTCTTCAGGAAAATCTTTGTATATTTAGTTTACTGTGCAGTATATACTTTTGATCTGATTTAATATGAGTATGATATGCTCCACAAGTTTTTTTATTATTATTATTATTACTTAATTTTTTTATTAGATAATGCTAAATCATCTAAGGTTCCGTTAGCATAATTAATATTTTAACTGTTTTCTATTTTCATTAAATGCTAATTTTAATACATTTCTTTTAAGGATAAATGTTCTTTAAAATAATTGAAGAAGGTTAAATATAATCATATATAGTACATTTAAAGCAGTTTCAAAAATATTTGATAAATTTTTTTTAAAAAAAACTGAAATCAAATTTAGGGAAGTATAAAATTTAGTTAAATATTTTTTTATTTAAAGGAACCTATAGTGACAATTTTTTTCCAGTCATTCGGATCTGACTAATAATCACATAATTTTAATTAAATAGATTCTTTTACTTTTATGAATATAATTATTTACTAAAGTGTTTATCCATAATAATTTATATCTAAAATATGATATATATGAAGCATTTTCCTATGTCTGAATTATGTATATACTAATATTCAGCATTATGTATTTCCAAATTTAAGAAGTTAGCTTGTTTCAATAGTTTATCTACAAGTTAATTTTGACATATGTTGTGTATTATTATGCAAATTGTTATGATTTAAATTTTTAATTGTATTTGAAATTACAGAGCTGAATATCTTCAAAATATTTTCTTTTTATAACAGGTACGTTTCTTTTTTATGTGATTTTTTTAACTCTGCGCCATGCTTTTTTATTAATTTCTTCAAATCATAGTAATAAATATTTTTTACTATAGAATTTTTTGCATTAAAAATTTTTAGGAGTTCTTATAGATTTTTACTGTTAGCTTTCTAATTAAATATTCTTGCTATGTTTCAGGAATATCAAATTGGCTTCAATAATAATATTTTTTAAAGAGTTGTTTTCCAAGCTAAAAAAATGGCACTTTAATAATAATTTTAAATAATTTTATCTGGTAGATAAAGTATTTACCAAAAAATATAGAGTTAATGTCAATACTTTTGTATTAAAAAGTTCACAGAAAAGTCATGTCCCTTATATAAAAACCTTGCAGTACTTAAATTTGTCATCGCATTGTTTTAACTTACTCTTTTTAGAAAAAATATATTAAAAAATTATATTAGTTAAGACACTATAGTTTGTGTCGTAGTAAAAATGGACATAAAGCATCTTGCAATCATTTAGTATGCTGTCACATTTTAAGCAGAGCATATTTGATCAAAGAAGCTTATGTTTTCTTTGATTAAATGAATTCTTACTATATGATGGTTTCCTCATTTGCCAGATTTTCATCAGATTACTTTTATTTATCAAAACGATTCTACATTTTCAGAAAATTCTAAGTATTCAAAATGATTCATCTGCTAGATTATGGTAGGTAAGGCATGTTCACCAGTGCTTCCAAGAATGACTGGATGTGTATGTTTTCCAGTAGATGCTGTTTCAAAGATTAATTAAATAATAATAATATTTTATATTTCAAATAAAATTGCACTACGCGTATTTTCTGTGAACATTTTGAAATTTATAGTGCCATTTACAAAATCTGTCATTTTTCAAACAGCATGCATCTGTGTCATTTAATGCCTGGTAAAATTGCTGTTTTCTTTATTATTTATTTTTTATTTAGCCTCTCTATCTATTTAAACCTCTAAGTGACATGGTTATTTGGATTTTCTTATGAAGTACTGTAGTTAAGCAGCATTTATTTGCCAAATTTATATAATGCATTATATAAGTCTCTGTTTTCTTCAACTTTCATTCGCTGAGATAACCTTCAGATCATTGAAGTAAAATAAGGAAAAAATATTTTAAATAATAAGATAACATATATCAAATGACCAGAAGCTCATGACTTGATAAAAGTAACCCCTCTTAACGTTAAGTGAATGTATTTCTGGTTTAAAAAAAAAATGATATATGTGTCTTGAAGATGAGTCAGTCTCTTTCAATTTGCATCTGAGATTGAATTTTGTCTAACTTTAAACTGGTATTGTTTCTTCAACAAAATCCATGTCCTATCAATTTACAAGTTTTTAATTTTGCTGGTTGTTCTATAGTAATCAGCCATTATGTTAATGATTAAATATATCACAGTTTTTTTATTTTTTTACATATATTTCTGGTTTTTAAATTCCATGTATGTATCATCTTTTTTTTAGTACAATATGAATTTTTCTGAAATTAAAATATGATCTTTTGAAATATTTTTCAGTACTGAGGACTTACCTAGAAAGATATTTAATATTCATTTCAGAATTTTTTTTACATGCAAAGTAAGCACAAATGGAAAGTAAAGACTAGAATAGTGTAGATTTTTGCCAAAAAAAAATTAAGTGTTCTGACATTATTTTTAGATAATTAATGATGACTACAAACGAAATCCTAAATTTTCCATCTTCGATATAAAAAGAAAAAAATATTCACTATTAAAAATTTTTAAATAATGCAAAATTTCAAATCTGCATTTAATAAAAAAATGAATTTAAGTTTACAGTTTTAAAACTATATCTAAATTTTTAAAAAGTACAAAGAAAGTTAGTAAATGAAGTACATAATTAAAACTCTTAAATCTTGAGCTTCATTTTCTGAATATAATTCTTTAAAAAATATGTGATTAACAGTTCAAAATTTTTACATTTTCTCAGGATCTTCCTAAATCAAAACAAGTTAGCACAAAGAAAGATGCTTAATACTTAATTCTCTGTAGAACATAGCAGTGTAGCAGCGCTTAAAATTGCTGTAAGCTGATATTATTGATATAGGGTCATTAATGAAATAATCATATTTTTTTTTAAATGGATACTTTTGTTGAATTAAAAAAAAAGCTATCCCATTATCAATCTTTAGGTTAAGGCTCAAATCCCTAACCTACTCTCAAATTTTTCAAAATTCACAAGATTTGAGAATTTAGATGGCCTGCTGCTAATTCTAACCATGAAATTAATATTAAATTTGTGCTGTAGAATAATTATGTGCTAAAAAAATTATTAACACTTTACTTTTTTGTTTGAAATAGGGTTTGCCATTTGAAAAAAAAAAATAATAACTGTCACAAAAATTCTGAAAAAATCAAACGATTTTGATTTATTAATACAGCTATTCACAATTATACAATTACTCATCTTAATTGTGTAGAATGTTTTATATTTAATTTTTAGTAATTAATCTTAAATAGCAAGGTCCTAAGTCTGTAAAAAAGAGGGGGGGTATTTTTTTTTTTTTTTTTTTTTTTTTTTTTTAATACTATCTGTTTTAAATTTACTACAGGAATCTTTCTTATTACTTTTACGTCTGTATTTTTTCAAAAATTACTTCTTAAAGATAATTTTTGCAAAATGAATGATTAATTTTAAATATGATGTGATGGAAGATGCAATTTGTTTTAATAAGTTTCAATCCAAGTTTTTAATTTGCTGTTCACAATCCAATTCATTTATAATTAATTTTCAATGTTTCTTTATTGTTCTATCTATTAATATTTGTATGTATTACTATAAAGCAAGAATTCATGTTAAATATGCCCATTTGCTCTATTAAAGGAATATAAACCACAAATGCAGTATTTAAAATAGAACTTTTAATATGTAATTTAATATGTAATCAAATTTAATTAATTTAATATGTAATCAAATACAAGTTGAATATTTATTGTATTTACTCAGGTATTCCCCCCCCCTTTTTTTTTTTTTTTTTTTCTAATTTTAACATGCAAAAATTAAGAGGGGGAAATTATGCATATAATTTAACTTCTGAAGGTTGCAGAAGAGCATAACAAATTAAAAACATTCACAAAAAACTACCAGTAACTATCATAAAATTGCTTAGTTTTAAAAAAACCTACATTTTAATAATATGTAGTAATATTAGTATTCCGAAATCTAAATAAGTTATCTTCATTTCTGTTTCCCTGCATCTTGAATCTCACCCACTCTTAGCTTTGTCTTTGCTATTCCCTGAGCTTCAAATCATTCAGTTTTACTCGAACTGCTGTTTGTGTCATCTGCTATAACTTTCAAGTCATGAACAACAAAGGTTGGCTTAAGCCATCACAAAGCACTCATGCGGATGTTCCATTACTTTTAACATATAACCTTTGGCAGTGAGTGGAAAGGGGAAAATGCAGCAGGATCTTCACAGATAGTTTGTGGAAGGTTGTCTTTGCTATTAAGATGAAAACAACCACTCTGTGGACAAATCCATTTTAAAATTTAGGGAAAGCTCATTGTCTAAGCATCTTAAACAGGAGAAAAAAATCCATGATTTTTTTTTTTTTAATTTTTAGAGCCCTGTGCTTGGGGGGGGGGATATAATAGTAAATACAGTGCTTAGCCTTCCATGCAATTAACATCTATTAAAAATGAATAGTATTTTAGATGGAAAAAATAAAACACAGCTATTGAAAGAGAATTATTTATTAAGTATTTTGTTAACAGATTAAATTAATAAATGCAGAAAAGGAAGTTCAATGACTGCAAACACTAATTTAATTTTAAAAATTTTATGCATGTACTATCATTCATGGGTTTGAAAGCATCCCAATTTTTTTTCTAAAACTAACAAAATAGTTTACAGGTTTACAAATTTAGTGGTCTGCAAAGCCTAACTGCATGTCCTGATTATAATTTCAGGCAAAATATAAATATTTGTGAGTGCAAGTTGTGAAATGCAGGCACTTAAAATCTGTTGGTCCAGAAGTGTTCTGGATAGGCTGGTGGTAAAGGGGGGGGAACTCTTAGATGACATTTTTTAAGGTGATCTCTGTCAAAATTGAGATGAACCTTGAGGAAATAGCTTTCGTGAGCTTTCCTAAATTCAGTAATCCAATCCTTTAATTCTTAAAAGTACTCATTTCATGTATTCAAGGCTTTTATTGTAACCCCTGTGAGACATTCTGACAAGCAGTGTTTTCATAATTACTGGTGTAATTTGTTTCAATCTGTTTACTAGATTTTCTTTTTTTCTGTTCAAGTTTGTTCTTGGTATCTTAATGACATTGCTTATTGGTATTTAAATCAATTTTGAAATGGGTACTGGACTTTTATATATGGCAGGAAAATGTGTACTGATATAGCTTCCATTCAGTAGAAGCACAGTCGATAGCATT